CAGTACCTTCATGTGTGCAGAGAGTGGTCTCAGCATGGGGTGGCTGGTCCTAGAGGTCTTCGGCTGCCGGAGCCCTGGTCGGGGCGGGGAGGAAAGCTCAACCCGCTCCCCCTCCAAGGGGCCCCGGCAGGACAGCCAGGCACGGGGGCAGGAGACTGCACTGTTCTCTTTCGGGAGCTGGTTTTTATAGTCTCTGAGTCTTGGCCATTGATGGGATTACACAGCGCCAGGGGGCCAGTTGGTGGGTGTGACACCCCCCCCCCGCCCCCTCCTACTGGAATTTGGAGGAATACAAAATGACAAAATGACTAGAGATAAATGGATTACTAGCTAAGGAAGGAGAAAGCAATGTGCCTTTTAGCTGGAATCCCACCCTTAAGCAGATCTAGAATCTAAGGTGCTGAAACCATAGATGAGATTTTGTCCTTGAGTTAATCTCCTAGAAGAACTTCCCCTGAAGAAGGTCCTTTACATCGGTTTATTGTTATGATAATGTTCAACCACACCTATGTATCCCCACCCTTCAGGATATCTATATCTATATAACTAACGCTGTGAGACTTGAATAAGGGGTCACCAATTACCAACCAGCCTGTGGCCCTGTTCCTTCAATCCTCCATCTGTCGCTGTCACCCACATTTGAGCTCACAGGGGTTCCTACTCTAGGCCTGTACCCTAAAGATATCTATTAGTCAGAAAACAAACCAAAAAAATGATGAACTGGATAAAAGTCATACAAAAACTTACTTCAGATCAGATTTAAACAATATTACTGGGTTATACATAAACCTGTACATCATTCTCAGTGATTCACATCATTATGCCCCAAAGAAATACTTCGTGTGTGTGTGTATACTGAGCATGAAACATATACAAAGCACAAAATCTTATTCTTAATGTTGGTAACTACAAATAAGATATATTTTAGGTTTACAGAAACTTATGGGCTGGAGTGATAGCACAGTGGGTAGGGCGTTTGCCTTGCATGTGGCCAACCCGGGTTCGATTCCTCCATCCCTCTCGGAGAGCCTGGCAAGTTACCGAGAGTATCCTGCCCGCATGGCAGAGCCTGGCAAGCTCCCAGTGGCATATTCAGTATGCAAAAAACAGTAATAACAAGTCTCACAATGGAGACTTTACTGGTACCCGCTTGGGCAAATTGATGAACAACAGGACAGTGCTACAATGTAGTGCTACAGAAACCTATAAAAAGACCTAATTAAATTTCAAGGACTGAATGAAAATTTTCAGTTATTTAAGAAAACTTGATTTAAACTTTGGCAATGATTATCATTTCTGTTATTCTCCAGTTTATCTCTGCATGCATAAGTGAGGTTAAGGTTGAGGAATGTAACCTACTTGGCTCTTCTTACATTAGTTCCTCAACTAATAACACACAATTCTTCAAGGGCACTACTAATGGCAGTAGCTTAATTCTGTGTGCTTAGAACACTCACTGAATCCACTTTTGTAGTAAACCTCTGTTATATAACTTGTTTTCTCATATTTAATCCAATCCCATATGACTTCTATTTTACAAGAATCCTCATAATGTCTGATCCATTCATATTTTTAAATAACAAGTTATGTACTTGGATGCATTTGAGTTTGTGTATTCATTTATTCTGCAACTTTTATAAATTTCAGGAAAGAGGGAGAAATTGGAAGAGGCTAAAACTTATTTCAGTCTGTCGTCTTGACTCAATATCTTGGTTAAATTTCTAAGCACATATTGAACTTTTCAAATACAAAACACAAACAGCTGTTAGTGGCATATGCTCTAATTTGGAAATCCCTGCTTCTAAAGTGATGTCATTGTAAGCTATTTCAACTTAAGACGTGGTCCTCATGTTAATAATGAATCTGTATGACACATGTGAATAAATTTCATTCTCCTTTCCAAAATTATATTTTATATTTTAATGTTTAGTCCCAAAGGAATTGAGAATTTCACATCATGGAGATTTGTACAAACATAACAATAAGAAAAATAAAATTTATAACCTTTAGCAAGGAAGAGAAAAGAGGAAGTACTCTAAAAATATTTTCTTTTTCTTGTTTTCTTTTTGCTTTTTGGGTCACACGCGGCGATGCTCAGGGGTTACTCCTGGTTTTGCACTCAGGAATCACTCCTGGCGGTGCTCAGGGGACCATATGGGATGCTGGAAATCGAACCCTGGTTGGCCACATGCAAGGCAAATGCCCTACCCTCTGTGCTATTGCTCCAGCCCCTAAGAATATTTTTTAAGGTGCCAAAATTTAACAAATGTGCAATAGCAACATGGATACACACTGGATGGCAGTTATAGAAAGAAAATTCACTTAATCACTTATCACTTAACTTCCCGTTAGTCGTCGATTTGCTTGAGCGGGCGCCAGTAACGTCTCCATTTGTCCCTGTCGCGTGCTAGTGTAGCCCAATGGCATCTCTTCGCTCCGGGAACATGGAGGGCCTCAAACCGATCATTCATGATCTTGACAAAGAAGTCTGACCATCTGGTAGGTGGGCGGCCACGCGGTCTCTTGACATCCCGTGGAATCCAATCAGTAACAGCTCTAGTCCAACGGTCGTCTTTAAATCTCATTACGTGACCAGCCCATCTGATTTTCGACACCTTGGCATATGAGACAGCGTTCCTGATCCTTGATCGTCAACAGATGTCAGAACTCCGGATTCGTTCTCTCATTTGAGTGAAACATGATATTCCAAGCATAGCTCTTTCTATTCTTCTTTGGGAGACCTGAATGGCGTTCTCATCTTGTTTGCGTAGGGCCCAGGTCTCTGAGGCATATGTTAATGCAGGAAGAACAGTGGAATCAAAGAGATGTGCCCGGAGCCGGAGGTTCTTCATCCTCTTAGCTATTTCTTCGACGTTCTTGAAAGCGTTCCAAGCCGCTCTCTTCCTCCTGCGCAGCTCGGGTGCCAGGTCATTTGTCATGTTGACCTCTCGACCTAGGTACACATAGCTGTTGCATTCAGAGATGGTCGTTCCATTGAGAGCGAATGGGGCGTCAGGAACAAGGCTGTTTGTCATAAACATTGTCTTCGTAAGATTCAGCTGTAGTCCTACCTTTCCACACTCACGGTCAAAGTCGGCCAGCATTTGTGCCGCTTGGCTGATGTTTGGTGTTATTAAAACAATGTCATCAGCAAAGCGGAGGTGGTGTAGTTGCCGACCATCTATCTTCACTCCCATTCCTTCCCATTCCAGTCGTCGCATGATGTTCTCGAGGGTGGCACTGAAGAGTTTCGGTGAAATGGTATCATCCTGCCGCACCCCTCTCTTGACATCAACGATCACTTCTTTGTAGAATGGTGAGATCCTGGTAGTGAATCCGCAATATAGCTCACGGAGGATCCTGATGTATTGGGCTTGAATGCCCTGATTGGCTAGGGCTTCAATGACTGCTTCCATCTCAACAGAATCAAAGGCCTTCTTTAAATCAATGAACGTTAAGCAGAGCGGCATCTTGAACTCCCGAGAAACCTCAATGAGCTTGGTTACCGTGTGGATATGGTCGATGGTGCTGAATCCTTTGCGGAACCCGGCTTGCTCGCATGGTTGTCCTTCATCTAGTGTTCTGCCAATCCTATTCAGGATGACTCGAGTGAACAGCTTGTAGATGACAGATAATAGGCAGATCGGGCGATAGTTGCCAATGTCATGGATGTCTCCCTTCTTGAACAGTAGTACGGAAAGAAAATTGCTTCAGAAAATTCTGTCAGATAGCACTGCTCTATAGAATCGGAGGACATACACATGGAAGTGGGAGCGACAGACAGCTGGCAGGGCACTTGCCTTGCATGCAGTCAACCAGGGTTCAAACCTGGGAACTCCTTATGGCCCCCAGAGCTTGTCAGAAGAGATCCCTGTGCACAGAGCCTGGAGTAAGTCCTCAGTACTGCCATGTGTGACCCTCCACCGCACCCCCTTCCGCCAACAAATGAAGCATCACTCCATGTGAAAACCCAAAACAAGGGGGAGGGAGAAGGGGGATTAGTGATTAGAATGAAGGGGAGTTTCTTCTTTTATCCCTTGCTACTTTTCCTGATTCTGTCTTTCCCTCTCATCTCCTAGAAAAATCTCTTTCCTTACTTCATTTCCCCTACCCTATTCCCCTTTCCTAATATTTTCTTTTTAAGTAACTGATAGGCACATTTTGTGATTTCTTGAATTTATTGAGGGTTTCTTCCCCCCTACCTCCAGGTTAAAATTTAAGGAACTGACTCAAATGCTTTAGAAAATATAGCGTGTATACACACACACACACACACACACACACACACACTTGTGAACTTGGGTGTATTTTCCTCCCTGGGATCATTACCCTTCTTTAGGGTTTCTCATGATTAGAATCTGGATTGAGAAAGATAATGAAATTCTATGGTCTCACCATATGTGGGATATTAAAATAAACAAAAACAAGTACGGGAACACATGAAGGCAAAAGAAAACAAACCCTTGTACTCCGCTGAACTGAGGTTACCAAAGAAGGGGGAACAGTTTGGTGGGCGGGGGTAGGGTGTGTTTCCCACCGACAGTGATGGAGGGAAACTGAATGGTGGGCATGTTCCTCACAAATGCTGAAAAAGAGGGTGTGGGGCAGAGAGGGGAGGAGAGGGGGAGAGGGAGAGAGATGCCAGCTGCGCTCCATCTCTAGAGGAAGAACTCAGTCCAGCAGACAGAGAAACTTACACTGGGCTCCTACTGCCACCCAGCGTAGAGAAGGCGCTAGGGTACCTACACCAGGGTAGCAGTTGCCTAGCGACCGAGGCTGTGCACGGCCCGGCGCGAACGAGGGATGCCGGAAGAGTCGTAACAAGCCCGCTTTCTATTGGCTGAAGAGTTCCGGGCCGTCGCCGAGGAGCCAATGAGCGGCTGGATTCTGTCAGCGTCGGAAACCGTGCGACTCCTCCCACCCCCGCTAGTTAGCGACGCGTGTAGTGACCCCCCGAAACTCCTCTCCCCCCGCCCCGCCCCCCGCGGGGGGTACCCGTCTCTCTCCATGTGCACTTCACGGCTTGTGCTTCTGCAGGTGCTTTTCCTGATGCTTCGCCAGGGCGTCCGGCCGCAGCCGTCTTTCTCCCCTTCCGGGCCAGAGCCCACCGCTCCGGACCCCGAGCGGGGGTCGGGAATCGGGGCTCCGGCGTCCCCCTCGGCGGGGACGGAAAGTGCCCGGGCTGAGCCTGAGCTCTCCCAGGCGAGCCCGACGGTCGCCACCTCCTCGGCGCCCGCGCCGGCGAACAATACTGTGGACCTCACCCCAGGTGAAGAGGGGGGTGGGGGGGTGGGAATAACTGAGCTGCTGCGGCCGAGTGTGGCCTCGGGGAGAGTCTGTGCTCCCGAGCTCACCCGCGCCGCTTGCTCCGTGTTGCGCTTGCAGCCTCGCCCCTCTGTATCTGCGACCTGACGCCCGGGACCTGCGATATCAACTGCTGCTGTGACCGCGACTGCCACCTGACCCAGCCGCTGTCCGTGTTTTCCTTCTGCCTCCCGGGCAGCGTGAGGTGAGCCGGTGCTCGGGCTGAATCTCCCTCGTTGGTTGGGGTTTCCCCCACTTCCACGCCTCCCGGTAGGACCTGGATGTCTCCTCCCAGGCGGAGCCTTCTCCTCTCAATTCCGGCTCCTCTAGCAGGGCTGCCCGCAAAGGAGATGATGGGTTGGGGGGTGCGTGGTGCACCCCCTTAGGTCCTAACCCTCTCCTAAATCTATTCCTTTCCCTTCCTGTGCCCTTGCAGGTCTTCCAGTTGGACGTGTGTGGACAACTCTCTCATCTTCAGGAGTAATACTCCTTTTCCTTCCAGAGTTTTCAGGGATTCAAATGGAATCAGTCAATTTTGTGTCCAGGTGAACAACTGTGAGTAGAAACACGGGTGATGGCTCTTCTTATTGCCTATCAAAACTTTTTTTTTTGCCAATTGAATGTGTCATCTTCCTTCTTTCATCACACACCCACACCCACAGTTTACTGGGGTAGCAAGAGGGGCTGGTTTTATACCTTGTTCCAAAGGGGTCCCTCCAGAGTAGAGAGCCCAAAGTAGTCCCTGAAGGCCAGAGAGAGACAGTACAGCAGGCAGATGTTTGCCTTGCAGTCAGCCAACCGAGGTTGATCCCCAGCACCTCATCTGGTCCCCTACGCTCCCCCAGGAGTGATCCCTGAGAACAGAACCAGAAGTAACCTCAGAGCACAGCCAGGTGCAGCCCCCCAAACCAAAAAAGTGATCCCTGAGCACTTAGAGGTGTGTCTCAGACACCTAAGACTGCCCCTCCCCAAATAAAAGTATGCAGAACTTTAATTTCAGTCATTCTTGTCTTCAGGTCATAATAGAGAGAGGACAAATTCTTCTCGCTACATTGTCCTTCAAAGTATTCACTGAGTTCCCAGTTACTGACACATGGAAGGAATAATACCTGAAGGAATGAGCCTATATATACCTATTGGTTTTTATTCAGGAGGCAGGTGAAGGGAAAGGAACTTTAGACTGGGATCTTAGCCCTGCCATTTACTTAGCAACTACACCAACTTGAGCAAATCCTTTTGCATTTCTGTGCTTTTTTTAATCTACCGTGAGACACTAGCTCTGGAGGTATAGGTCCTCTTTTAGTTGTACAGCACAGTTACATGATAGGCAAAGTCTTGAAACAGACTTAGAAACTTTCTGTTAATGACCACATTTCTAAAGATAAGAAGCTAATACACTTTTTATTTACTGCCTGTGAACAAAATGATGTTCTCATACAAATGTCCCTCATACTCTCAAAGTCACCTTATCCTGATTTCAACTGGTTATCAAAAATTGTAAAACTTTCAGAAAGGTTTGGAGTTTGAGGGTCCAGATTTTGAAAACATACCTAGAACCTTGTCTGCATTCAGTGTACACAGGTAAAGACAGCAATAAAAATAAGACTGCATATTCTTCATGGAAGCTGTGAGTTTGAAACAGCCAAAGTGCCCATCAATGGATGAGCAGAAAAGATATGATATGTATATACAGTGAAATACTACTCAGCTGTGTGTGTGCGTATATAAAAGATGAAATCTAGCCATTTGCAACAATCTGGATGAACCTAGACCATGTGTAGAAAAACAAAAACTGAATGAATAGTTCACTCATGTAGCAGATAGAGAAAAAAAATGAATAAAACCGGAGTTTTAGACTAAGAATGAAAGGGGTTATGATTAACAACAGAAGGCGCGAGGGTTGGGTAAAGTGGGTAAAAAGAGTCAACTATATGGGCAGAAATCAAAATTCAGGTGGTAAATATGTAATATATAGATGTTGGTTTACAAGTCCCTAAGCCTGAAATCTATTTTAAGCTAAAATGTTACTTTGTTACCAAGTCTGCTGCTCCCCACCTTTCAAATCTCTCAGTGCCTTCTAGTTCAGAGCTCTTTGTAATGGCTCCCTACCTTTCAGTGTCTTCTGCCTCCTATAACGGGCCTATGCATTGTCTCTAGACCAGGGGTTCTGAGCTTTCCCAACAACACTTGAGCGTTATTCTCTTAGAACTATGATTCGAGCCTGCTGCCCTCCACCCCCAAGCCCCAGAAGACACACCCACATCCCACAGCCATCACCATCCAAACACCAACTAAACTCTGAAGAGATGCCAAGCCAATGAAATTCCCAGGTACACTGATCCTGGAGCTCCTGAAGCTCATGGCGATGCTACATCGCCATGTTCCAAAATACTGAGATCCCAGTAGGAACGCAGTAAATTAGATGGGAGAGTAACACAGGATTCAACTAAACTCAGTAAGCAACAACAATTAACACAGAAGGTTCAGTTAGCGACAAATAGCTCAGTGAATCCCCAGACAATGACTTTTATGACCCTACTGTAAGATATAAACATTTTTACAAAGCTATTTTTTTTTTATAATTCCACTCACTATTTTGTTGTGGGCTGGAGCGATAGCACAGCGGTAGGGTGTTTGCCTTGCATGCAGTCAACATGGCCGGCCCGAGTTCGATTCCTCTGCCCCTCTCGGAGAGCCCGGCAAGCCACCGAGAGTATCTCGCCCGCATGGCAGAGCCTGGCAAGCTACCCGTGACGTATTCGATATGCCAAACACAATAACAAGTGTCTCAATGGAGACGTTACTGGGCCCGCTCGAGCAAATCGATGATCAACGGGAGGGCCTAAAAAAAAAAAAAGCAATATAAAACAAATTGTTTTGTGCCTGTCAATGGGGCAGGCTTATGGATGGGTGGGGAACTGGGGACATTGGTGGAGAATGAAAGGTCATACTGATGGTGGGACTGGTGTTGGGACATTGAATACTCGAAACAACTGTATTATGAACAACTTTATAAACCATGGTATTTAAGGAGTTCAAAAAACCCTTATAGGCAACTGTGAATTATTAGCAATTTATATAAACATTGTGTCTCCTCAAAATAGCATCTAGAAAGGATGGAACAGCACCTGGAACCTTTCATTTCCAATAGTGCTTTAATATCTGCTTATAATGACCAAAAGTTCATAGTCAAAGTTTGTATCACATGACAGTGTGGAAAAACCTCAGACCAGAATCAGATTAATGATCTCTTCCTGGTTATGCCAGATGGCTCTGTGGCCTTTTATAACTTATTTATCTCTTATTTATCTAAAAATTATAATGGGATTGTGCCAAATGGTTTATAGACTTCCTTCCACATCTGAAATGTATCAATCTAAGTCATAATACCTTGGAATTTTATTAGGTATAATATACATTCAGGCAAAAAACTATTTTACTTAGTCTGTGCTCCTTCTGCTTTTTCACTGCTTATTATCATGACCATCAAATATCTCTTCATTAAAGTGAAATTTTAAAAATTTTAATTTTTGCCATTTAAAAAATAGGTGGATATTTGTTATTTCAGCCTATCTTCTTTTTTTTTTCCTCTTTCTTGCATTTATTCAGATTTCTTAAGCATTCAGCATCACCTGTTCCAGAGCGGGGCTTTTCAAACTCTTAATATGCATGCACATCACCAGGACAGCATCTTATGAACAGATTTTAACCCACTAGGTCCGGGAAGAAACTTGAGATTTGGAATTTTGGACAAGCTCCCAATAATGCTGGGGCCACTAGTCTGTGTACCAACTCTGAGTAGCAAGGATTTAGATTATTGATTGAGTTTGAAGGACCTTAGAATTGACAGTTGTGTTCATTTCAGCTTTGAGAAAGCTGAAAAGTCAAATAATTAGGACTTTTCAACTACAGAAGATAAAGGTAAATTTTATATAATGTGGGAATTCTTATTCTTTCAGTGACAAAAATCATACTTTTTTTAGCTAAGCAGTGTTGGACCTGGTTAGTACTTGGATGGAAAACAAAAGTCTTAATACTTTTAAAAATCTGTCTAAATTATGCTAATTATAAAGAGTGAAAGGAACTGGTTACAGGCATATTTCTACTATTTTTTCTAAGTTAGAAGAACTGGTAGCAAAAACAGTATCATCGATTACCAGCCACATTGTGGGCAGTGGAGCTCAAAGTGCCAAAGCTCTTTTCTTGTAGGCTCTCTTGGTTGTGAAGTACCATAAGGACAGCTGCAGGAACCTGGTAGATAAATACACTGCTATAATAGAAATTAAACCTTTTAGGGAATCTGAAACCTCAGATATAGAAATTGTAACATGAAAAGAATAAAAATAGGGCACGTCTATTAACTTGAGATGGAAAACAATATTAATGGGACTGACCAGTTGAAAATGAAAGGGAATAGGAAGATTTAAAGATAAAATAACCGTTATCTCTAACTTCATTATGTTTGTATGGGAAAAGTACTTTTTGTCATCTGGTATCAAACATGAACATTATTGCACCTTCTATTTTCACCCTAAAGTGCTAATCATACACACTCCCAGCATTAGAAACTTGGAACTGACTAGAATTCACTGCCTGTGTTCTTTTTTTAAAAATTCCATTTTTTCACTGTGGATCCTGTGTTATTCATGACTAAGTTTCAGCCATACAGTGTTTCAACACCAATCCCTTCATCAGTGTCCACTTAGCCATACAGTGTTTCGACACCAATCCCTTCATCAGTGTCCACTTAGCCATACAGTGTTTCGACACCAATCCCTTCATCAGTGTCCACTTAGCCATACAGTGTTTCGACACCAATCCCTTCATCAGTGTCCACTTAGCCATACAGTGTTTCGACACCAATCCCTTCATCAGTGTCCACTTAGCCATAGAGTGTTTCAACACCAATCCCTTCATCAGTGTCCACTTAGCCATACAGTGTTTCAACACCAATCCCTTCATCAGTGTCCACTTCCCTCCACTAATGCCCATTTCTCTCCCACCACTCTGCCTCTATAACATCACATTTTTTAAAGTAACTTTTGACACTGTGGTTTACAGTAGTTACTGGGTTCTATATGAAACGAGAGAGTTTTGTGCATTACCCCCCTTTTAGCACTCACTTCTCCTTCCGGTTGACCACTTCCCTTCACCACTGTTGCAGTGTTCTCTTGCCTGTCCTATTCCTCCACTCCACCCCTCAACCCCAGCATGCTTCCTACTGAAGACCTCACTGGCCATATTCTTATCCAGTCCTTAATACTACATCAGTGATTAAACAGATTACAAATAAATTACTTGACAGAAATCAGAACCATTGTTATCTCTTAAAATCTACTACATCAATGATTTAACAGATTACAAATACTTGATAGAAATCAGAACCATTGGTATCTCTTGGGGTGGAGTGATAGCACAGCTGTAGGGCATTTGCCTTGTGCGCAGCCAGCCCAGTGGAGCCGGGTTCGATTCCTCCACCCTTCTCGGAGAGCCCGGCAAGCTACCAAGAGTATATTCAATATGCCAAACACAGTAACAAGTCTCAAAATGGAGATGTTACTGGGCCCGCTTGAACAAACTGAGGAACAACAGGAGGACAGTGACAGTGTTATCTCTTAAAATGAAATTTCAACTGTGAATTTCCTGGGAATATGTTCTATAGCTTAATTTGAGTAATAAAAGTATACAAATTAATCACGATCATGATCACGATCATCCTGTTGTTCGTCGATTGCCTCGAGCAGGCACCAGTAACATCTCCTTCCTCGCCCTGAGATTTTAAAAGAGTCATTTCAATGCTCTTTCAGGATTAGAAGAATGAGACCCATCGTTGTTACTGGTATTTGGCATATTGAATACAACACGGGAAGTTTGCCAGACTCTGCTGTGTGGGCAGAATACTTTTGGTAGCCTGCCAGGTTCTCCAAAGGAAAAATAAGATAATAAGATGTTTGGGAGCTGGGTTTTATAGTCTCTGCGTCTTGGCCGTTGATGGGACCAACCTGGCGCTGGCGGCAGCTGGTGGGTGTGACGCCTACCTACTGGAAGATAGAGGGTCTAGGTGGAGAAGGCCCAGTCCCAATCAGAGTAGGCTTGGAGACCTCAGCCCAGGGACCCACATGCCTGGGTTCCTCTGCCAGTTCTTTCATGCATGAGGCCCGTCCGGACGTGTGGAGAGTGGTCCCAGCATGGCCGTGGCTAGCTCTGGAGGTCCTCAGCTGCTGGGGCTCTGTTCGGGTGGGGGGTGGGAGAGAAACTCAACCCTCCCTCTTCTAAGGGGCCCCGGTGAGGACAGCCAGGCATGGGGGCAGGAGACTCTGCGCTGTTATAAATTAATAACATTCACTAAATTCACACTTAAAATTACTGTATTTGGATACTTTACATTATGCCTTTTAATACTTTTTAAAGTTACTTGGTATGCCAGATTAAAATAATTTTTTTATCTGAATTTTCATTTTAAAAAATATTTTAGCAAAACTGAACTATTTCCAGAAGCTCCAAAAGGTCAATGCAACCAACTTCGAGGCCCTGTCTAGAGAGTTTGGAGGTGAATCATTTACTCCAACATTCCAATCTCAGCCACCACCATCCTCTTATTATAAGGTAAGCCTAAGGAAGGGGAAGGGATTGTTTGACTTGTCTTTTCCCTTACCAAATAATTATTGGCTGGGTATCCTTGTAAAGCACTCCTTGTTATATTCTTCCCTGCAAGCAGGTAAACCAGAGTTTACTTCATTTGGAGAGCAGTGTTGTTTATGCTGACAAACTACTGAATTAACTTTAATTTTTACTTTGTCTCTTCTCTGATGCTTAGACCTGTCTCACTGTGAATAAATTTCCGCTGTATTTTGTACAGGCTGGAGACCCCATCCTGACTTACTTTCCCCAATATTCTGCATTAAGCTTACTGAGGCAGCCTGCTGGAGTTGGAGCTGGGGGATTCTGTGCTGAGAGCAATCCTGCAGGTGAGTCCAAAGCGAAAGTGCCAGCCTTTCTGTTCATTTTAAATCAAGCTTTCAACTGAAAATAGGCTGAGAAAGACCACATCTTTGCAGGTATGAAGCCCTGGGTTAAGTCCTGGGCACTGCTTGCACTCTTCTCACCACCCTAACACTGCTAGGTATGGCCCCATTAGCAACTCAAAAAGGTTTTTCATTTGTCACTTTCATAAAAAATATTCCTTAATTTTTTTATAGGGGCCAAACCTGGATATACTCACACAGTTAGTGTGGGATTGATGGTGTGGGTTGAATGGTTCAGTGCTGGACCATGACAGTGCTGGGGGAGAAGCAGGCCATGTGGTACCAGGATCAAACTCAGGTCCTTGAATGTGCTCCACACCTTTGATCCGTTTCCTCAACTCCATCACTCCCATTTTTTTAAATTAAATTTTATTTATTAGTCATTTGTTTGGGTCGCTTGTTTGTGCTCTGGTTTGGGGGCACACCCTGGAGCGATAGCATAGCGTGTAGGGCGTCTGCCTTGCATGCAGCCAGCATGGCCGACCCGAGTTCGATTCCTCTGCCCCTCTCGGAGAGCCCGGCAAGCTACCGAGAGTATCTCGCCCGCATGGCAAAGCCTGGCAAGCTCCCCGTGACGTACTTGATATGCCAAACACAGTAACAACAAGTCTCACGGTGGAGACGTTACTGGGCCCACTCGAGAAAATCGATGAACAACGGGAGGACAGTCATTTGTTTATAGTACTGTAAAAACTTGGTGGTGAAGTTTCTTTAGTGTACATGTAAATGCCTCACCACATCCACCACTAAAGTACTATTTCCATTTCACTATCAAAGTTCCACCCCCGTTTCTCACACCCCACTTTCCCTTCCTTCTAATGACCACATTTTTTCACTGAGTTTAAATCACTTATCATTCCCTTAATTCCTTGTGTTCTAAGGTTTCCTGGAGAGTAAAAGTACAACCTGTGCTCATTTCTTCAAGAACCTGTCAAAATGCTGTACAGCAGACCCAGCCCTCAATGCTGCCTCTTATTATAACTTCACAGTATTGAAGGTAGGTATCTCTTCTCTCCCCTCTGTCACCACTGTGTATTTAGTGAGAACACGCTTCTCGCTGTTGGGATGAGGGAAAAAAGGCACTGAACTGGAAATCAGAATGCCCAAGAGCTTCATAAAAGGCAGAAGTCTTAGAAATCTGGATATCTGAAGAGAGATCACAGAATTAGGCTTATATCACTTAATCACTTAACTTCCCGTTAGTTGTCAATTTGCTCGAGCGGGCACCAGTAATGTCTCCATTTGTCCCTGTCGTGTGCTAGTGTAGCCCAATGGCATCTGTTTGCTCTGGGAACATGAAGAGCCTCAAACCGATCGTTCATGATCTTGATGAAGAAGTCTGACCATCTGGTAGGTGGGCAGCCACGCGGTCTTTTGACATCCCGTGGAATCCAGTCGGTAACAGCTCTAGTCCAGCGGTCGTCTTTAAATCTCATTACATGACCAGTCCATCTGATTTTTGACACCTTGGCAAATGAGACAGCGTCCCTGATTCTTGATCGTCAACAGATGTTGGAACTCCGGATTCTTTCTTGTCGGAACTCCGGATTCTTTCTTTCATTTGAGTGAAACGTGATATTCCAAGCATAGCTCTTTCAATTCTTCTTTGGGAGACCTGAATAGCATTCTCAGCCTGTTTGCATAGGGCCCAGGTCTCTGAGGCATATGTTAGTGCAGGAAGAACAGTGGAATCAAAGAGATGTGCCCGGAGCCGGAGGTTCTTCGTCCTCTTAGCTATTTCTTTGATGTTCTTGAAGGCGTTCCAAGCCGCTCTCTTCCTCCTGCGCAGCTCTGGTGCCAGGTCATTTGTCATGTTGACTTCTCGACCTAGGTACACATAGCTGTTGCATTCAGAGATGGTCGTTCCGTTGAGATCTGTTTCTCATAAACATTGTCTTCTTAAGATTCAGCTGTAGTCCTACCTTTCCACACTCATGGTCAAAGTCGGCCAGCATTTGTGCCGCTTGGCTGATGTTTGGTTATTAAAACAATGTCATCAGCAAAGTGGAGGTGGTGTAGTTGCCGACCATCTATCTTCACTCCCATTCCTTCCCATTCCAGTCGTCGCATGATGTTCTCGAGGGTGGCACTGAAGAGATAACCCTACTGGTAGTGGGACTGAATGGAGAGGGAGAGGGTGATATCTCACTGTGTCAGCAAAACTTATGTTTATGTGTATTTGGAAAAACTCTGCTCAGATAGGTGGGCATTCCTGTTCAGCCCTTAGACCTACTGCTGGCAGTTTAGTATAAGGAAGAGTTAGGTACAAAAGAAGTGATTCGTTCCAGTAAAGTTGATATGTTCTCCCAAATTTGAAAACAGCAGTTCCTGGACATCTTCTGTTAAAAACACATGCATTCTCATGTGCCTGCTATTTTCTTACAGGTCCCAAGAGGTATGAATGATCTGGAGGATATGAAGGTATATAATGTTATTTATTGGGAAAAAAGAGAAAAGACACTTTGGTCCCTTTGCATCTAAGGCAATTTCAGTGTAGACTATAATGATGAAAGGAAATATGTCTGACATATCAAACTGTTAAATAAGAATTTAAAAGTGTTGGCTCAATGAGCTCAGCATGGTTAAAAATATCACATGGGCTGGTTAGGTATCTCATGGGAGCAGGGCACATGCTCTGCATGCATAGGGACAGAGTTTTATCCCCAACACTTCCATGGCCCCTGCATCACCAGCTCTGGAGATAAATGAACATCTTTGGGAAAGGTCCCCTGGCCCTCCCAAGAGAGTGTCATCTGAGTAAAGGATTAGATAAATTTAGGAAACATGGGGTTAAAAAAAAGTTAAACAGTGAACTTATTGAAGTTTTTCATGTTCTACATTTTTTTAATCTCTAAAAAGGAAATGTCAAACGCATTTCTAAAACTCATTTGACTATTGAACCCACTTTAATAGAATTAATGTTCTGAGAAATATGGAATATGACTGGTTTAGAATTACTTTTAAATTTAAACTGAAGATGGCAGTGAAAGAAGAGGAAAGGATGATGGTTAAGAAGGAAAGCATACATTTCAGCATGATGTACAGAGACAAGTAAACTGATACTATTGATTTTAGTTGACATATTTTCTTTCCCTTGCTAGTTTCAGGTTCCCGTAACACTTGTCTCACAGGCTGATTCTCCTCTGTTGGCTGGAAACACTTGTCGGAATGTCGTTTCCAAGGTAGGGATGTTTACCTCAGATTCTGAAGTGGTTCAACAGTACTAGAGGTGAAAAATGCTACACAGAAAAGAAAGCCACAGGGGCTGCAGTGATAGCACAGCAGGTAGGGTGTTTGCCTTGCACGTGTCTGATCCGAGTTCCGTTCCCAGCATCTCATATGGTCCCCTGAGCACCGCCAGGAGTAATTCCTGAGTGCAGAGCCAGGAGTAACCCCTGTGCACTGCCGGGTGTGACCGAAAAAGAAAAAAGGAAGAAGAAGAAGAAGAAAGCCACATTGCTCAGTACATGCATCTAACTGATTGCCCTGAGAGTATTAATCCAAGCAGTGGAGGGGGGGGAGTAGGGCCTGATCCTGAGCATCAGGTGTTCCTCCAAGCACACAGCCAGGAACGGCTCCCAAGCATTGCCGGGTAGGGCTCCCAAACAAACAAAAAGCAAACAAACAGAAAAACCCAAGAGACAGAAAATCTGCTCTTCTAATTGATTTTACTTTTGTATTTCAGGTCATCTATGAGATAGAGACCAATGGAACTTTTGGAATCCAGAAAGTTTCTGTCGCTTTTGAACAAATCAACCTGACTGTTGAACCAGGCATTTCCTTACAGCAGCACTTCATCATTCACTTCCGGGTTAGGGTCTTTCTTCCACGGGGGTCAGGAAGGAAAGAAGCATTGGGTTAAATTATATTTAAAAATTAAATACAATTCTTCTCTTTTGCAACACATGTGTAATAGAATATGGAGGCTCATACTGCAGTTGAGGCCTCAATATTTAATAGTCCATAATTTAACATAAGTGGTCATAGGGAGTCAGTGATATTTATTCATTAACATTTTCTCTGAATATCTGGTTCCAAAAAAAAACTAGAACTCTCTTTTAAAAAATAGTTATCTCTAGATCCAGGTATGTGACTTAAATATTGAGCATGTGCCTCACATGTGTGAAGCTCTGGGTACAATCCCCAGTAACACCAAAAAAATCAAAAAAGTTATTTTGAATCATTAACTCAGTCAACATTGCACAGATTTTTCCTATCTCTAGACATTCAGCATTTTATTCATTACTACTTCAGAGCCAGGAGAGACCAATTTCTTCTCCATTCTGCCCTCAGGACATTGACCAAGTCTTCCTCACAGAGTTCATCTCTGGAACATCCACAGTTAAAAACTATTTTTAAATTAAATTTAAATTCTTTTCTTTCAGCCAAGTTGATCAGAGCCCTAAAATCAATCATTTTTGATAAAGAGAGTGGCAGGATATTTGACAGATTATCATCCTTGGTAGAAAAAACATACAGGGAATTTCAATATACCATTTTAGGGTTTATTTTAGTGAATTAAAAAATGTAAAACACTATGTAAATGTAAAACAAATGTAAAAAATTTATACACAAGTCTACGCTGTGGAAGGAAGTCACATTGTTCTTTACAGAAACTTAACTGCATTGCCTTGAAGGGTATGAAGTCAAGTAGTGAAAGCTGGAAATATACTTTTTTTTTTTTAACAAAATTCACTTTTCTTCACTCTCCAGGCTTTTCAACAGAGCACAGCTGCTGCTTTTATTGGCCCTAGAAGTGGGAATCCTGGTTATATTGTTGGGAAGCCACTCTTGACTCTCACTGGTGAAAGAAGTCATTCTGTATCCTTATGGAGCTGGCATCTTTCTTGTAGCCTAATAAGAAAACCTGCAGCTGCTGATCTTTGGGAGTCGATTCTAAGGCCTCCCCCCACCTTTTCATAACCGCCTTTACCAAACCTTTGATGTGTTATATTTTCAGATACTGATACTTTTAGACTGGGTGAAAGTGAGTATTGTGATTGATCTCAGGCTGGTTGTATGTGCCTGACAGTTGTGTTCTCGAGCCCGACAGTGTGGTACTGCTGCTGCCAGGGCTGCTCAGGGCATGTGAGAGATATGAAGTGCCAGAAACCGAACTCAGAGCTTTGCATCCAATTCTTTGAACTCTCTTCCAGGAACCTCATTTTTCATTTCTCTTTATGTGAGTTTATGGTGTATGGTTAGATATTTTTGAGAAACTAGCAATTATTTATTTTTTTAATAATTAAAGGAAAAAACTGACTTAATGTTACCATGAGACAAACAGAATTTTTTTTCTTTTTGGGCACACCTGGCGATGCTCAGGGGTTACTCCTGGCTCTGCACTCAGGAATACCTCTGGCAGTGCTGGGATGCTGGGAATCGAAACAGGGTTGGCGGCGTGCAAGGCCTTACACGCTGTGCTATCACTCCAGCCCCTAACAGAAATATTTTTGAGGAGCCAGTAATAAGGGCATAAATAATCCAGTATGTCCAGAATTTTCTGTTATTATCACCTTGACCATCATGTCCTGCCTTAGATGACCCTGTTGCAAAGCCAGGGTGATGGAATATGCTCTATTAAGAGACCTGAAGTACAATTTGGAGTGAATATGAAATCTGGTTGCAAGTTCAGGTAATTCTTGGCTTCTGAATCTTTTCCCACAATTTTCTCTTAGGGAATGTGTAATTATGACAACTTTTTAATTTGCCTATTTCAGAAGATGCTAATAAGGAAGTATTTAATAATCTGAATAATATAAACATTAACTAAGAATTTGCTAACTTCATACTACCTTTCTTTTCTTTATACATACTAAAGATTGTTTCCTCTAAGTTATCTTGTAATATTATGTCTAATGCTTGGATTGACTTTTTGATACAGTATTATGATTATATTAGTGTTGGTCTATAACTTCCATCATTTCAGACCACAAAAGATGAACTGCAGCGATATTCAGGAGGAGGTTTATCAGATTCTTCATGGAACACCCAAACCAGAGCAGGTTGCTGTCTTTGGTAATGCTCACCCAGCCCAGAAAGGAGAGTGGACCAGGATCCTTAGCAGGAACTGTGATGTTTCGGTAAGCTGCTGAACACATTGTGAGACTCTTTGTAAATTATGAATGTTAAGACAAAAATGAACTGTTACTATAGATAGGATATATACATCTCCTAGATAGTAGGTTTTTTTTAACTCAAACAATACAAATGCTTTTCTGCGCTTTAATTTTTTCAATTACTCTAAGAATTTTTTCCATATTAGCACACAATAAGATTCTGCATTCATTGCATCAATAATTTAATAGCACTGCACTGTAGCACTGTCCTCCCGTTGTTCATCAATTTGCTTGAGCGGGCCCAGTAACATCTCCATTGTGAGACTTGTTGTTACTGTGTTTGGCATATTGAATACGTCACGGGGAGCTTGCCAGGCTTTGCCGTGCAGGCGAGATACTCTCCGTAGCTTGCCGGGCTCTCCGAGAGGGGCGAAGGAATTGAACCCGGCTCAGCCAGGCCGGCTGCATGCAAGGCAAACGCCCTACCGCTGTACTATTGCTCCAGCCCAATAATTTAATATTGTACTATATATATTTACCAAAGTGGGTAATACAGCCTCAGCCTTTCCCACACCCACCCCATTGCAGAACAACCTGGGAGGATGATAGTAGTCTTGGGTGCAGTTGTGGTGGCGGGGGCAGCCCACAAGCTGTACTTTGTTTTTTAAAAGAAGGTGTATTTCCCTGTATTGCAAACCACAACACCCAAAAGGAGAAAGTAAAAGGGAATGTTCCTGCCACAGGGGCTGGGGGGGGGGGGGGGGGGGGGCGAGGGCGGGGGGGAAGAGGTACTGTATGAGGGATGGGTGCTTGATTGTTGTATGACTGAAACGTAAGCATGAAAGTTTGTAAGTCTGTAACTGAACCTCATGGTGATTCATTAATTTAAAAAAAAATAATAATAAATTTGAAAAAATAAAAGGAAGGTGTGTTTCCAGGAGGTGTTGAGTAATGATTTTTTCAGAAAAAGGGGCAGTAGGCCAAATAAGTTAGGGAACCTTTGATATAGATGGACCATAATTTAGTCAGTTTCATTGTTGGACATTCTGGTTTTTTCTACTCTTTTGCTATTAGAAAAATGTGACATTTTATATCCTAACTCAGGCACTATTTCATGTGAGAAAAAGCCTATATGATAAATCCTGGAAGTAAAATTGTTAAACTAATAGGTATTTAACATTCTAATGTTGTGGTAAAAGTAAGGTAAAGGCCCTCCCGTTGATCATCGATTTGCTCAAGCGGGCCCAGTAACATCTCCATTGGAGATTTTGTTGTTACTGTGTTTGGCATATCGGATACGTCACGGGGAGCTTGCCAGGCTCTGCCGTGTGGGCGAGATACTCTCGGTAGCTTGCTGGGCTGTCCGAGAGGGGCGGAGGAATAGAACTCGGGTCGGCCATGTTGGCTGCGTGCAAGGCAAACGCCCTACCACAGTGATGCTTGGGCCTGGAACTACTCCTCACAGTGCTCATGCCTTCAGTGTGACCAGGGCCACACACCTCATCTTCTGAGGGCATGTAGTGCCAGGGATCAAGCTAAGATCTTGCACATGCAAGTCATGTACTGAACCACTTGAGCCTCATAAGTGGTTATGAGGCTGAATCTAAGCTTTTTTTGATCTAATCTTAGATCCTGAATCTAAGCTTTTTAATAAATATTGTCAATTTATTCTCCATTGCACGTGACAGGGACAAATGGAGACGTTACTGGCGCCCGCTCGAGCAAATCGACGACTAACGGGAAGTTAAGTGATTAAGTGATTCCCTATTGCCAGTATATAGTCTCACTATCCTTAATTTGAAATTCTTTAATTGAATTAAATGTGACCTATTTCACCTTTTCCGAGTCAATACATATGTTGCCTTACTATTATATAATAGTAAGGCAATATATATATATATATAGATAGATAGATAGATAGATAGATTGTGTGTGTGTGTGTGTGTGTGTGTGTGTGTGTGTGTGTGTGTGTGGATTTAAAAAGCACAAGGGAGTAACACAAGAGCTTAGAGTTTCTGCTTCTCAAGTGTATGGTGATGAATTCAAATTCCCACTGTCTCACATATACAAAAAGCAGTCCTGGGTGCTCAACAACCTGCCATCCCCAGCACTGCAAACAGTTTTCAGCTGCTCCATAGCTACATCTGAAAGTACCACAGAGAGGGGTGTGACTTCCTGGTAACATGGCAATTAAACAGATGTATGAGCACCGTGGCCAAGAAGTGTGATCCGTGATGAACATGTGAGACTGCAGCAAGCACTGCAACTATGTGCCTCAGCCTAGAGTGCAATGCCCACTAGCATATACACAAGCACTGCCACCAAGCACTCAGTCAGCAATGTAGCTGAGCATGTGAGAACCGCAATCTGACATGCAGTCCTCACTAAGCACCCAAAGGGTGCAAGCCCCAGGCATCACAGTAATAACACACCAATGATGTGAAGGGTCGGGGGAGTAGGTTGGGAGTAGTGGGGGTAAGTACCACTCTTTTAATGCTTCTTAGAATACTCTACCTGGTCTTCTATTTTACTGATCTCTTTATTAGCAATTTCCGTTTTAGAATATTACGTTTTTAAGAAAAAGGACAATCATTTCTAATTTGAACTTTGTTTTTTCCTAAGCTCCATTGCCTTCCATTATTGTATATGTGTTGTCCAGAAGCCATGGCTACTTGAGCACAGGGTGACTGATGGGCAGCCCTCAGCAATTCAAGCAGTTGCTTCTTTACCTTTCTGCAGGCTGTGCACTGTACATCCTGCTGTGTCATTCCAGTTTCTCTGGAGATCCAGGTGTTGTGGGCATTTATTGGCCTCCAGTCCAACCCTCAAGCTCATGTGGCAGGGGCAAGGTTCCTATATCACTGCCAGGTAAGCCATGACTCCTAAAGGACCTAGGCTGACACAAAACCCTGTGTATCTTCCCTCACATTGTCATGTGAGTGTAATATATCTCTTTCCCGCTTCCTACTTTTCTTACAATTTCCTGATCCAGATTAGAGTTCAGGTTTATTTCTCTTAAACTATCCTACCAGTATTTTTATTTTAGCTATTTCAACTACAAAAAACTTTTTCTATAACTATATTCAACGATATTCAATATACAGAGCGCTGGAGCGAGAGCACAGCGGCAGGGCGTTTGCCTTGCACGCAGCCAACATGGCCGACCCGAGTTCTATTCCTCCGCCCCTCTCGGAGAGCCCGGCAAGCTACCGAGAGTATCTCGCCCGCATGGCAGAGCCTGGCAAGCTCCCCGTGACGTATTCGATATGCCAAACACAGAAACAGCAAAGTCTCCAATGGAGACGTTACTGGGCCCGCTCGAGCAAATCGATGATCAATGGGAGGGCCTTTACTTACTTACTTACTTATATTCAATATATCACTTAATGATCTCTTAGAGTCTCTGAACCTGTTGATGGCTGTTAAAAGTTATTGCTTTATAATAGTCAGCAATTCTTAATTGAATGCACCCTATTAAATAGTTTTAATAGGATGATCTGTATTATATAGAGAAACAACAAGGAAATAGTGTCCTTTGATGTCAAATGCTTGGTTTGTGTGAAAAATGGTACAGGTAAAAGTGTACCAAATGATGACAAATGCTTGGCCTGTTTGAAAAAAGTCCATGTGAGGGTGTACTAAAGTACACCTTTTGTACTTTAAGTTTACTTTTCTAAAGATAACTTTATTCAGCCATCATCAGCATAATTATAAGGAAAAGTAATCATTTGACTGGAATAAAGTTCTCAGTAGGAAGTTATTTTCACTCACAATTTTGAAGGTATTCTCCATCATCTTCTCATCTCCAGTACTGCTGTTCAGAAGCCATTTTAAGATATTTTTACACCTAGTACTCTGAAGTTTCCACAAAATGTATTCAGTAGATTCAATAGTCCATGACAGGGTTTACCTGAAAATTAAATTCTTAGAAATTGCAATTATTGCTTCATTTTTAATTAATTTCCTCCCTACTGTTTTTACTGTTATCTCTAGTACTCCTATAAATTATTAAATTCAAATTATTAAATTGATTCTTTTTTTTCTTTTATATCTTTTTCTGCTTTTTTTTGCTATCTTTTTCTTTTTTAAATAATTTCCTCAACTTTTAACCTAACTGAATATTTTTATTTGGTCTATCACATTTTCAATATTTAAGAGCACTTTCTTATTCTGCTACTACTTTTCATAGCATCCTTTTCTCACTTACCTTTTTATTTTTTTATTTTTGAGTCACACCTGGCAATGCACAGGGGTTACTCCTGGTTCTGCACACATGAATTACTCAATTACTCCTGGCAGTGCTCAGGGGACCATATGGGATGCTGGGAATCGAACCCAGGTTAGCTGCGTGCAAGGCAAACACTCTACCCGCTATGCTATCGCTCCAGCCCACTCACTTATCTTTTAAGATACTATCTTTCGCTCTACCTTCACTACCTTTGATTCCTGAGTTTGTATGTTCCACACTTTTTCTTTCACTATGAGAAGCCCCTCCCCTAAGTTGGCATCTCTATAGAGTAAGTAGCTGAGCTGGTTGAAGCCTCTGAACATGAGCAAAACTTACTAATTTGTGGTCTTCACTATATGGCAGTTACATGAAACTTGAAGCTTCTGGAACTTCCAGATTTATTTTATGTCTTTTTTGCTGAAATTATTTTCTTTAGAAAATTCTAGCTCCTGACTAAAGGATATGGCAATAAGACCACTTGTCAGCATTTTTAGAGCTATATTGGGGAGGGGTTTTCATAATAAGTTCTCTGTTTTGTAAATCTTTACTCACTCTGCACTTCTGTATGCTCAGGGTCTCTAAATACAGAATTTTTCTGATTTAAATGGTCCAGTCTGTTATTGTGGTGGGGAGGGGGAAGTTGCCTGACTGCTGTTAGGGAGCTTTCCTTACTGAGTATCTACGTATCCCTGTCTCCCTTGTTTGGACCTGGAGAAGGGGTGGGATAAGTTCCCAAGCAATGCTCAGGCTACCCCTGGCAGTACTCTCCAGCTAGGGCAAAGGGTCCAGTGCTTGGACTCAGTGATGCAGTAATGCCTGGGCCCATCAGTCCTGGGAACTGTGAATAACTCTGTAGTGCTTGAGGGAGCTCTATACCCTGCAGTGCTTGGGGATGGCACATGCTGGGCCAGTGTTCAAATTTGGGTTTGAACATGCAAAGCAGTCACCTCTAATCACTGAATAATCTCCTCACCTCCTGCCCACTTTTTTCTTTTTTTTCTTTATTTTGATTGATTGTGGTTCTGTGATTTACAGTACTGTTAATGATGGTTTCTCATGCACATAATTCCAATATTTCCACACCCATCACCACTGTACTCACTTTCTTTCCTCCCCAAGAATCCCAGGGTTCCCCTGACTCCCCAACTCAGTTATGTGGATCAGTTCTCCCACTGTGTGTCCTTTCTGACTGAATTCACTCAGCACTATATCATCTAGTCCACTAGAGGATAGTCAGGCCTTGACGGAATATTCTAGAGTCCTACAGTCATCTGCTTGCTTCTAGTCTAAATTTAGGTTTGGCCTTTTTTCTCTCTATGAAACCTTGCTCAATCTGCTTTCTGTATTCACATTTTTTGATGTTCCTTCCTTTCAGTGAAGATGGAAGTTTTTGTATCTGCTGCTTATTGGATTGAAGTAGTTTTCATACAGAGAAGAAGACATATCTATCTTAAAATCAAATTTAATAATTGCTCTTGATGAGCTTATATATAGTGTTGAGTATATAAAATTCAGTTAAGAAGTTTTGATCATAGGGAATTTCCCAGCCATTGAAATAGATCTATATACGTTCTAAAATAAATAATTTAAAAGTTTTAAATGTATTTAAATAGACATGGGCTTAAAGTTCTCAGACTTATAGCCATCTTAGAGTAGGGCAACTTCAGATCCCTGAGAAATCCTCTGATGGATGGATCAGTTGATGGATCAGAACGTCAGCCTAAGAGGGACTTCTTTGCAAATGTATATCATTCTTTTGCCCCCATAGAAGTTACATTAGTTTTTAACCAAGTTCCTCATGAGAATTACATTTTTAAAAAGAATCCAGAGTTAATATCATATACAAGATTATCACAGCAAGCCCCATATTCATTAAAAAAAGATCTGGGAAGGGTAATTCCAGGCAAAATTATATTCCTAGAGTCTGATATTCTCTAGTGCCAAATATCACAGCAGAAAATTTATGATAGAGTCAAGGAAGGTACACAGAGAATAATCTTCGTTCCCTGTTCCAGGACTACAATGTAGTTCTTATTGTCCATTTATAATCAGAAATTTGTTTGGTAAGTACAGAGTTAAAATCAAAGGAATTTATCCTCTCTACCCCCTCCAAGATCCCAATCCCAACCCCTCCCAAGGTAGGGATTAATCTCAGGATTTCACACATGTAAGACATACACTGTACTTCCCCAATCCTCTTGGAATTCATTTTTAGTAGAAATGACTCCAGTCACTGAGCTACACTATATATGTACCAAAAGTTGTGTCTAGTGTAATAGGTTCTTGTTTCAGCTTGACAAAAAACCCTCTTCTGCTAACTGCTGTTTTATTTGACTTGAACTGGTGAGTGAGTGATTGAGAAGATTCTTTCTAACCCTGAGAATCTGTGAATCAGGTGGGGTTTTATTTATTTTTTGGTCACTATTGTGGAGTAACACCCAATTCTGCTGAGAGGCCCATAAGAACCACCCCAGCAGTGATAGCAGCTTTGCCATCTGGCTTCCCTGATATCAGATAGCAACCCATTTGGGGCAAGTTAAAGTTGTCTCTAAGTAAGTCTAACTGTTCACAGTTCTTGTGTAATTAACTGTTGCTAAAAAATTCATTTCCTGTGACTCAGAGAAGAGAACTGCACAGGACCAACAGGAAAAAAAGGTATTATTTATTTATTTTTGGTCCCTCCTTGAGGAAGGAATTACTATCAAATTTGAGGACTAGATATATGGTAAACAAGTACTGACCTGTCTTGAAACCTCTTCTTGCAGGACTTCCCTGAAATCCCAGAAGTATCCTTAACAACTGTTGTGACTTTCGTGGACATTACTCAGAAACCAGAGCCTCCACGGGGCCAACCCAGAGCAGACTGGAAATTGCCATTTGACTTTTTCTTTCCCTTCAAAGTGGCATTCAGCAGTGGAACAGACTTTCAAAAAGGCTCAGTCTCTCCCATCTTTATTTGCTGCCTCTTGCTACTGGGAGTTCTCAACGTAGAGAATACATGAAAAAAGAAGAATCTGATACATGAAAAAGAAGAATCTGAGAGGAAGTTATGAGGCTGCCTGCTCATTGGCTGTCCACAGCAGAGATCAGTTAGTGGTTTGCCACCATGGTCCCAGGCAGCCTGATGGAAAAGGTTAAAAACCACTGATATAGAGAACGTGTGTATATATAGAAGAAATACTTCTACTTGAAGGAAGAGATTTCAGTAGAGCAATAAAAAGGCCTTTGTCATCATAACTCTGCTTAGGACTTGGCAGACCACCAGGAACTTACTAGATTCACGGTTTCTCAAGCAGGGAAGAACACAGTCCTATCTCCGGCTCTTCAGGTTGGGTATGTCTGATAGACAGTTTGTGAGATCTTTGTACATCTGCTCACAAGCACACTTATGCCCAGCATCAAAAGGAACGTGCTCGTGTCCCTGGCGAACGCAAGAGTACGCCCTGGCAACGTGAGAGGAGCAACTGGTCAGAACAGAAAACTGCTCACTATTGTACCTCACTCCGCCCCACTCCTGGGCCATACTCCTTGCCCGGGCATGTGGGGAAAGCAATTCCTTCTGCCCAGTTTTCAAAATGAATGTGGAATTCTCAGTTCTCTCTCCTACTAGAAAATGACCTCATCCTTATTTTCATTCTTTCCTTTCTTCCACCGTCATGAGGAGAAATAAAATTGAGAGCTTTTTGGTACTAATTCTTGCAGCACACAGAAATTAGCCTCATGATTTTTTTTCCATTTATGGGGTTTAAAAAAAAAGTAAAACTTTCGTATGTAGTATGGTTCCATTCAAATCAAGGACTTGGCTTCTTGGGACAGATACAGTTTTGTGTCACTGTCATTTGTAGTGAGTGCTTTATTATTATAGTTAGCATAAGTAAGCATGGCAGCTTACAAAGGGTAGTACTGTGGGCATGGTGGGGCCCTATCTGCATGGCCTACTCAAGAGAGTCTAGCTTAGTGAGAAAACTATTTATAAATGTACTGAAAGGTATAGGCCAGGGAGAGAACTCAGTGGTAGGAGGTCCTTGCACTGCATGCTCAAGGATGCAAGTTTAGTCCCCAGCACTGCACATACCACAGGTACTGCAGGGGGTAGGCTTGGAGGCTCCAGCACTGCTGGGGTCAAACAGTGCTACATTGCTTTCCCCAAGTATTCAGCTATCTGGCCCATCTGATCAAGTTTCCCTGGGAGTGGTCCATGGGTGCCCTTAGCAGGAGATCCTGCCTAGGAGGATCTCCCTCTCACATTCCAAAAAAGGTCTTTTCCTATTTATCCACCTTGGATAGAGAAGGGTTGGTTTGACTTAGGATAGAAATCCTGGGAGTCAAGAAGCACAAAAAACTTTAGGTCCAAAGCAAAATTATGTAGTCCTTATACTTGAGGCTATTTTTAAAATGTCATTTCTGTCATTATCTTTAAGTTTTCTCTTTGTTGTGGGGGAACACAGCTGGTAGTGCTCAGGGCTTACTCCTGGAGTTCTTGGAGAGCCTTATGGATAGAACCCATGTAAGCCATGCATAAGGCCATATTTATCTTTAACTTTTAAATCTTTTTTAATAAAATAATGTAAAAACTACTCAGTAAAATACATAATATTAGTGAAAATAGTACTGTGCACCACACTGAAACAGAATTTCCAGGTATAGCCCCTTGTGAGCTCACAAGTTAGTGGGGAAGACATGTGACACTTGGGGAGGCTAGCTTTGAGAAGACTTATAATAAACCTTGCTTCATGAGCAGAAAATGCTAACTGTAAATATCTTTGACAAGCTTATCATTGTGCCTGATTCCTCAGTACCTGGAAAGTAACCTATTTCCGTGGAAGAAAGTGGCAAAGTTCTTGTAGAAGTTATTGCTGAACTAGGAGGAAGTGCTGCAGTAAACAGGTGGTCCAGCAAAGCAGACTCAGGATCTTGGAAGCTAATGGCCCGTCGTTCATGGATTTGTTGGAGCAGGCTCAGTAACATCTCCATTTTGAGACTTGTTACTGTGTTCGGCATATTGAATACTGGGAGCTTGCCAGGCTCTGCCTTGCGGACACTAGATACTCTTGGTAGCTTGCCGGGCTCTTCGAGAGGGGCAGAGGAATCAAACCCGGCTCGGCGGGCTGGCTGTGTGCAAGGCAAACACCCTACCAGCTGTGCTATGTAAATGTTACTGCTCCCAAGGGTACCTTTACTGAACAGGACAACCAAGCTATTCAACTTTTTACATATTCCAATTTAGCCTTCTTAAATGGAAATAACTGGGATGAGTGCTCCAGACTTCACACACATTCCTCATTCTCATTCTTCATACAAAAGGACTATTCGCTCATCTATTTTCTGACTCTTACTACAGCACCACCAGGTTTGCCAGGACCCTTCCCTTCTTAATAGTGAGGACATCAGTGTTCCCTCTTCTGGTTCCCCCTACTTCTTGCCCAAATCAGTTATCCATCAATCAATTTTTTTCAGGGGGACTCCCAAGTAGTATGGGAGGGACCAGGTGCTGCTCTTGGTCCCTCAGCTAACTAGACAGAGGGTTAAATGGCCGCAGGATGTGGCACTGCTCAATGCCTACAGTGCTGGGGAGCTACAAGGACCCAACTCAGAGGTGCTCAGGGGCCTCCAGGGTGACACTCAACAGTGCCATGGGATCATGTAATACTGGGGATTGAGCCAGTGTCCATGACTCCGGACCCTCGTGTACCTCCCTGGTCCCTAGTCCTCATTTCTCAGAATACCTTGGCAATAGGTTAATCAACCTCCTTTTTCTAATTCCCAATGCACAAAGCAGAGCAAATCTTATTCCAAATCGTGTTCTCCGCCCCCCCCCCCCCGGGGAAAGTTGGACACACCTGCCTACACTCAGGGGTTACTCCTGGCTTTGCTCAGGTGACCATATGGAATACTGGGAAGCAAACCAAGGTAGGCCATGTTCAAGAACGCCCTACCTGCTATTTTGGCACTCTGGCTCTGATTCCAGTATTTCAAAAGCCATAATTCTATACCTTAGAGGTTCAAAATTTTAATGTCTACAGCCTTTTGCCTCCCAAAAACCTCTCCTGTCATATCCCACAGGCACTTCTCCCAGGATGTCTCATAGTCTCATTCTTCAGATGATCCTGCTTCTTGCCCTTCAAAGCACAAATCTCTTTTTTGAGAATATTGTTTATGATACTAATATTTATGCTTTAGGCATGCAAACATACATAACCACAATTCTGACAGATTGTCAGAATCTGTCACATTACCCATGGGTACGTACCTTCTCTGTTCCTCCCTTCCAGGTAACCTAAGAACACAAAATCACTAATTCTATAAGAGATATGCACAACTATGTTTACTGCAGCATTATTTATAGTAGCAGGACCTGGAAGTAATCCAAGTATCTGAGGAGAGATGAGTGAATAAAGAAATTGTGGTATATATACCTAATGGAATAATTCTCAGTTATAAGAAATAATGAAATCCTGCCTCTTGCTACAAACTTGAACTAGAACATGCTAAGCAAAATAAGGTAGAAGGAGAAACACAAATACCTTATGATCTTGCGCCTTTCTGGAATATAGAGAAACAAAGCCAAGTTATCGACAATAGCCAATGAAAACAAACCCTAAGACTAGTCTTTTTTTTTTTTTTAATGTCTTAGGGGAATCTCTTGTCCAACATCCCTATTCCAGCATGGTATTATAATTATTTGGGCAGTTATCTCTCTCTACCACAAAGCTGTGAACTCATTAGGGGAAACAAACAATGCCTTCCTCACATGGTGCTTGAACAGCTAGTGTCTAATAAATTACAATGAATAAACTGGCTTGAAAAGAAGTGATTTCTGAACTCAAAAAAGACCCACTAGTTATGGCCCTCCACTCAAGAATCCCTTCTGGGAAAGTTCCAACTCTCCTGAACACAACTGTCTCAAAAAGAAATATTCTTACCAATGCTCATGCCGAAGCTGAGTCTCTTGTGGGGGAAACCATAGGGGGTAAAGCATTTGATCTCAGTACCAACATTTCCCCCGGTAAACAAACAGGAATTTGCTGTCAGCTCCGATTCTGTAAACAGCCGTAAACTGATGCAATTTACTTCCCAGATGCGCCCCTGCCCCGATGCTCAGCACTGACAAACACACTTTAGAAGGAAGAGCTGCCAGCAGCTGAGGGTCCGGGGCATCTTTACCAGCACCCCAGGAAGGGAGGGCTCGGGGGCCGCGTCTTTGGCGCGCGACTGGGGTGCATGCGGACTCTCTGAGCCCCGCCTCCCCGCGTCTGCCGGGCCTCGGGGGCGTGGCGTGGCGCGCCACGTGGAGCGCAGACCCCATTCTCGGAAGGCGACTACGCCGTTTCCGTAGCGCAGCTCCGCGCCGGGTCCCCGCGCCACGCCAACAGCGGAGGCCCCGCGGCCTGGGTTTCCTCCAACGCCGCTGACGTAACGTCATCTTGCGGGACGTGGACGGAAGAAAGAGGCGAGTGCACGGACGCCTGGAGCAGCTGGGCGTGGAGCGCCACGGGAGCTGCTGGGAGGCAGGCAGGTAGGCAGCGACTGGGGATGGAGGCGAGCACGGGATGGAGAGGCGCCGGGCCGAGCGCGTGCTGCGGGGGATCGTGGGGGCCCGAGCGGAAGAACGGCGGCCCGAGTCGGGCCTCCGAGCGGGTGGGAGTGCGGACTGAACGGTGACGGCGGGCTGGACAGCCCAGGGCGCGCGACCCCTCTATAGATCTGGGCACCGAGGCCCTGGGTTACCTGGAGGCCCGGCGCACCCGCCCCCCTGCAGTGCTCGCCAAGGGAGGACCTGGTCCAGGTGGGCACCCGCACTGTGGCCTGGAATCCGGGTCCAGTTTGCAGTGCACCTGCCGCGGAGGTGGTGTGGAAACTGGCCGTGCGTCCAAGACAGGGGGGCCCTGAGTGTTCTGTCTCCCTCGATTTGTGAGTCAGGATTCTGCAGCGGAGCTCCGTCACCCCCGCCTTTTGCAGGATGACAGGCGGCCTGGGAATAGGCCTTTCCTGCACGTCTGGGTGCACCCACGG